CCAGCTGCTCAAAGTCACCGAGGATCAGATTCCTCCCTTTCCCAGTATTAGGGGTGCCTCCTAATTCAGGGCTACTTACAATTTGATAAGCATATCTTACATTCCTTTGCTCGACCCATCAGCAAAGATACGGAATGAAAAGGCCCCACGGCAGATTCAGGAATGAACCACTCGACACGCCTCCTTGCCCTCCCACCCCACACACCACCTGCTCACCCTTCTCAGAGTGTTATCCCCTCACTTACTGCTGCGTCAGGACTCAGACAGTGGACAGGAGGTGTCCTCTCTGCCTGGCGACTGCAGCTTCATTGTGGAAGAATGTATGTTTGCCAAAATGACATGCTTTTCCCAAATCGTGCCTGACAAGAAGGGGATAGGCTCCCGCTGCGGGGCCTGAGCGCTCTCTTGGAGTCGTGGCCTCTGCAGACACCACCTGAGCCTGAGTGCTGGGCAGGATGTGAAGCGCCAGCCCCGTGACAGCTGGGCGTGCAGGCCTGGTGCCCACAGCTGCCCTCGTGATCGCTACAATCTCAACACTCCAGCCTGGGCAGGTGGTGGGGCGTTAGGGGACCCCCCTTCCTCCTGGGGTGTGTTGCACTACACTGCATTCAACAGGGGAAGCTGTGTTGACACCCCTATGCTTCAGGCAGAGCACCTGGCTGAAGAATTACAGCAGGTCAACAAGTGGCACAGGGGCTGCTGATCAGGGACCCCCCCAGCCTTTCTTCATGTGCCAAGGGAAGTTTCTAGGCCATCTGGGCCTGGTGACTGTGGTCGCCTTTGCTGACCTGGGGCTGACTTCACCTCTGATGAGTTCCCAATCTGTGTGAGCACAGCGGATGTATTCCTCTCTGACAAAGGCAGTTTGTGCGAGAAATTGTTCAGAGCCCAGAATTTCTGGACAGCCGGAGTCTTTTCAGACACCCCCTTTTGCCTGTTGCCCTGTGTTCTCCAGGCACAGGGGCCCAGCCTCCTGCAAGAGCAGAGGCGCTACCAAGTCGGGCCAAGTTCTCTCCAGCTGGTCTGGCTGGGGGGCCTCCTGCTGCCCAGGAAAAGTGAGCCCTCTTATCTGGGGGGCAAGAGGGCACCACATGCGGTCAGATAAGCACAAGGCTTGTCCCCTTCCCTGTTTTGTTCTCTGCTGAGTCCGCAGCGCCTATCACAGGCCTGATGCTTAAGCATGTGGATACCCCTGTTTTATGGACAGGGAAACTGAGGCACAAGAGGGCCTGCTCCTTTAACTAGCAAGTGGACAAAATGAGCTCAGCCCCCACTGGTTTGTTATAGGCCCTCACGTGGCTCTGACTGTTTTGTAAATGCTAAGTGACCTGGTCAGAATGAGCACCATGTGCCCCTTTTGCAGTGACGGCCACGTGAAAGGTGCCATCTCAGCCGAAAACTCTTTTTCGTCATGTAGGTTTGACGGAAAACTGCACAAATATTAAACTACCTTGCCCATATTTCTCTATGGGTTCCAAGTGACCTTTTCTTAAACAGCGGTGCTGGTGAGGTCTCCAAAGGCATACCTGAAACAGCAGGCCTGGCCTGGGTTTGGGGCTACCTCAGCTCAGGCTTCCAGAGCTTTCCTGAACTCCTCTGTGGGCTTTCTGTCCTCACTGCTTCTCTGTCCTGGTCTCCTAAAAAGAGCTACTCAAGGGGCCTCCCAGGTGGCACAAGGTGTTAAAGCGCAGCATTGTGAAGCTGTCCACCGCCACTACAGCGCAAGTTCGATCCCCGGCCGGGGAGCTGACCCACAGGGCACAGCAGACCTCTCCTGTCTCATCTGCTGCCCCCTCTGCAGTGTATTTCAGTTGATCTGCCTGTTCTGCTCTCCACTCTGTCTCTGGCGAATCCTCTCACCCACCTCATCTCTGGACTGTATCTCAGTTCTTGTATGCATAAATAAATCTTAAAAAAAAAAAAAGCTACTCAAGGATCTTCAGTTCTGCTGTCAGCTGCTCTCTCTGCACCCTGAGCCCTCCCTCATGCCCACAGGCACTGGACTCCCTGCCCCTGCCTTCTCCCTTCCAGATCTTTCTCAGCTGAACTCCTCAAACTGTCTCTCCAGCTCCTTGGTCCTCGAGGCCTGTCACCTACACTACTGGCGCCCTCAGGTCAGTGCTGCCACCCCTAGCCAAACAGCTTTGTCCTCAGCTTCTTTGCATCTGAGGACTTTGGCCTCCTGGATGGCGCCTCTTTCCTTTCTGGTCCCCACAGTGCACTGGCACCCCCTCCCACCCCTCCACCCGGACCGCAGCCTCCACTTGGGGCTCAGCCTGGTGTGCCTGTTCCTGTGCCATTGCATCTCCTTGAGTGCTCCCAGAGCCTCAGCTGCCCGTCGCTGGTTCTCCTGCCTGGATGGGTCTGGCCCACAGCCTTGCTGCAAATGGACAGAGAGACGGAGGGCCGGGGAGGCTCTCCCGCTGGCCTGCGTCGTGTCTGCAATGGTCACAGAAGGTTTCCATCTGCGTGTCCCACCATCACCTGAAAATTAGTGCGGCAAACCACAAGCTATTTTGAAATCACAGAAAATGAAAGTCGAGTGAGAAGGGGAGGACCATTTTGATGAAATCCCCGGGAACCTGCTCACCCTTTCTTTCCTCCTGTGCCATCAGCCCAGTCTGGGCTGCCATCCTCCTGGGGAGGGCTAGGAACATCTTCACTCCTGGCCTCATGCAGGGCATCTGGGTCTCTCTCCCAGATCAGGGTCCTTTTCCAGCCTTGTTTCTGTTTGTGATTAGTCATGCTGGAGACAACTGACTCAAAAGGGCCTTGTGGGTGGTTTGTGGCCAGGCTGGAACAACAAGGCAAGAGGACTTTCTAGATTTCTGTCTGTGCCCCATGAGGCAAGTGTAGCAAGGCCCGCCATAGCAGCTACAGGATAAGGGGGTAACAAAACGAGACTTTTGGTCTAGCACTTGGTGAATGAGGAGCACCAAGCTAGCCCAGTCATGGTCCCTGTGATGCTCATGCGGGTGACCAGCATATGTAATGCCAGCACCACAGGGCAAGTGCCTCAGGACAGACTATTCACAGCGACTGTAAGATCCTCTGTTGTCTGTGAGAGTCCACGTATTTCTAATAGGCATCCCTAAATTTTTTTTTAAGATTTATTTATTTGTGCATACAGAACTGGGGTACAGGCCAGAGGTGCAAGGAGTCAAAGGGTTCACCAGAGACAGAGTGGGGGGCAGAACAGGTAGATGTACTGAAATACACTGCTGCGGGGAGCAGCAGGCGAAACAGGAGAGGTCTGCTGGCCATGTGGGTCACCTCCCTGGCCAGGAATCAAACCCTGCTGCAGGGGCTGCAGTAGCTTCATAGTGCTTCGCTTTAACCTGTAGCACCACCAGGGAGGGCCCTGCATCCTAAATTTAATACTACTTTTCATTTGAAATTTTTTTCAAGAAAAGTGATTCACCAAGTATACAACCATTTATTTTGGGTACTAGTGTAAGTTTTTTTTATGTAAATAAGCTGACATCCAGTAGCAAATTCTTTATTTTTTTATTTAAATTGTGTTCTTTTACTGAAGTTTACAACATGGCATAGGACTTGGGGTTATAGGTCCATACTTCTTCAGCTGTATATTACAACCTCACACTCACTGCTAAAACACCCGTAGTCCTCTGCTATGAACTGTTGGACCCCTTCCCTACTTCGCTACCTTTAACCCATTCTCCCTTTCCAGTAGCTTCAATTCTACAATTAAATTTCTAGGGTTTCTTTGGGTTTTGATTTTCTGTTCCCTTGTTTAGTTTCTCTGTGTCCCATATGTGAGGGAAATCATCTGGTATATATCTTTTCCTTCTGACTTATTTCCCTTAGCATAAATCCCTGCAGTGACAAAAATCCATTTGTTTAATTGCTGAATAGTATTCCATCGTGTATATGTCACATTTTAATTTATTCACCTGTTTTTGGACATTTAGGTTGTTTCCATAACTTGGTTATTGTAGATACTGCTGCAGTGGACTTAGGAATATACATATCTCTTCAAATTAGTGCTTTTGCGTCCTGAGGATAGATACCGAGGAGTGGCATTGCTGGGTCGTCAGGTCAATCTAGTTTTATATTCTGGAAAACAGTCTACATTCCCACCAAAGTGTATGCGGGTTCCTCTACCCCCTCTCCAATACTTGTTACTGGTCCTTTTGACATTGGCCATTCATATTAGAGTGAGGTGATATCTCATTGTAGTTTGAATTTGCATTTCCCTCATAAGTGACTGAGCATTTTGTCATTTCCCTGTATGAGTTCTTTGGAGAAGTCTTTATTTAGTTATGCCCACTTTTTATTTTTAAGATCTATTTTGTATTTGTTTATACATATAAGAACTAGGGTGTAGGCCAGAGGTGTGGGGGGTGAGAGGATTCATCAGAGACAGGGGGGCAGCAGAACAAGTAGATTGACTGAAACACACAACTGAGGGGAGACAGGAGAGGTCTGCTGTGCCATGAGGGTCAGCTCCATGGCTGGGGATCGCACTCCTGCTGCAGCGGCTGCCAGTAGTGTTACAGTGCTGAGGCATCAACCCTTGCGCCACCAGGGAGGTCCCTTTTCTGCCCACTTTTTAACTGGGCTGTCTGTTTTCTTGTTGAGATTTACTGAGTTCTTTATAGACCTTGGAAATAGTTCCTTCTCAGATAATATAATGTACAGATGTTTTCTCAGAAGCAAATTCTTTGTCCGAACATGTGATAATGACTTTGTGGTCCAGAAAATGTGGTAGCAGGAGGGAGCACTATATTCTGCTGGAAGAGAAGTGTCCCCGCCTCCCCAGAATATATTTAAGGTGTCTTGGGCTCCACGTCTGACGTCTGGAATTGAAGACCATCCCTGCCTGGGGGAATGACACAGTCCAGCCCTGGAAATCAGCTGGAGGATTGGAGGAGTGGAGCAAGGGGTTGGGTAGGGAGACAAAGGCCTGGTGGGTCTGGGGTCTAATGATGTGCCACGTGGATCCAGCCTTGCTTCAATACCTGTGTCTGTGCCCACAGGAGGGAGAAGAGCAGGAGGAGGCCCGTGGCAAGGAGGAGCGGCAGGAGCCCAGCACAACTGCGCGAAAGGTGGGGCGACCCGGAAGGAAGCGCAAGCATCCCCCGGTGAGTGGTGTCCTCCAGCACACATGTGCGCATGCTCTGAACAGCGAAGTGCCAGCGACCATGGGACGAGTATGGTGAGGCCAGGCGAGGGACTGCCCCCTCCAGGGTAGAGCTCATTTACATGGCTTATTATTCTTTGAACCCCATAATGACCCTCACGCCTTTCTTAGTTTCTGCATCAAACTGGAGACTCTTCATGGCCAGGGAACTGGGGCTGTGCTTCAGCCAGACCCCTGAGTCCTGCCTTCCCTCTGTAATGGGCAGCCGAAGCAACGGATGCATTTCTAGCAAGTGACTTTGACCCAGCTGTAGGGGCCCCTCCCTCCTGCCCTCCCCCACAGCCGTCTTGGGGCCCAGCCCCACTGGGTACCTGACAGCTCATAGGAAGAGAGAAGAACCAGGCACTGTTTAAGTTCGGTGGGAGTGTGACCACAGGAGTGACCCGGAGTCCCAGCTTCTGGGAACCGTTGTGTTTGAACCGAGGGAGCTCCTGGGTAAGAACTGCTCATGAGGATAAGACCCATGGACCATGGCCTTGGACTTAGGCAGAGCCTTAACTATTTCCTGGTGCCAAACAGCTGGTTCCTTTCTTTTAGCCCCTTCCATCTGGGAATGAGAAATGGAGCAGGAAGGTAAGGGGGGCCAGGAGCTACGGGTTTGTGATTCGGCCCTGCAAGGAAATGGTCTCAGCAACACCCGACATTCCTCGGGTAGAATGTCGGGTGAAGGTTGTAGCTGAAGTAAAAAGGGACAGTGGAGGCTGGGGGCCGGGGGCTCGCGGTGCACCACTGCCAGTTGTGCCGGAATATTTGCAGGGCACTGAGTGTGAGGGGCAGAAGTGAACTTGAACTGGTAAGTAATTTTTTTTTAAATGTATAAACACTGTGTGACCTTTTTAAAAAAATTGATTTATTTGTGCATACAGAACTGGGGTACAGGCCAGAGGTGCAGGGCGGTGAGTGTGGCGAGCAGAACAGGCAGATCGACTGAAATACACTGCTGAGGGGAGCAGTGGGGGAGTCAGGAGAGGTCTGCCGCGCCCTGTGGGTCAGCTCCCTGGTTGGGGATTGAACTTGTGCTGCAGTGGCTGTTGATAGCATCAGAGTGTTGCACTTTAACCCTTTGCGCCACCAGGGACACCCTGGTAAGTAATTTTAAACATTGCTTTAATATTAAAGCAAACATGAACGTTTTATAACTTGAAACTAAAAGTTCACATGAAGTTGAAAGTTAACACAGGGACTTTAAGGGAACTTTCCAGTCGGTAGCAGACTCCAGGGGGCACTCCTAGACCCTCAGGGTGCTCTCCAGTCTTCTCCGATGGGCACCTTGAGGGAAAAGGTGGAGAGCAGGTGCAGACTGGAGTGGGAGCAGAGACAGGCCAAGTGAGAGCCCCAGTTAGCCTGCACCAGCTCCTGTGCCCATGGTCCTGGGGCTGGAGACAAGAGCCACCACCTGAACAGCAAATTAGGCCCATGGGCCCCTTGCCACATTGTTGTGAGTCCCTTGGGCCCAGAGGGAAGGCACATCTCTGAGAAGTAGGGGGAAGCCCTGGGGGCAAGAGGGGCAAGTAAACCAGGGCCAGGAGATGGGCATGCTGAGTGGTGAGGGTCAGCAAGGCATGTGTCCCCAGCCCAGAGAAGGGCCCAGTGTGGAAGGAAAAGCACATCATTGAGCCCAGCACAGATTTAACTGCTCACTCCACCACTGGCCACCTCTGATCTTGAATAAGTCACTGCCTGAACCTCATGTTCCCCTTTTGAAAAGTGAAGCTGATGAGGATGCATTCTTTCTAGGCTCCTGTGAGACTCTAGCAGGCTCAAGCACCAAGGAGCCAAAGCCCCACCAAAGGTTGGCTCTGCCTTGTTAGAGCAAATCCTTCTTCAGGAGGCCACAGCAACTTCACTTTGACAAAAGATACTGCACTGATTTATTGCTTCTCTGCTGTGTGATATTGAGCAAGTTACTAAACCTCTCTGCTTCCTCATTGGTAAAATATGGCTGCCGATATTTCCTGTCATGCCCATTTCCAGGGATGCTTGCAAAGAGCAGGGCCCAGTGTAGGACCGGCAGTGTAAGAGGCCTGCAGAGGCCAGTAGGGCAGGTGTAGCAGGCTTTTCAGGGAGGAGGAGCTGAGCATCAGCCCCCTGGCCGTCCTAGGGAAGGTGGTGCACATCCTCCACAGGCCATAGTCTGGGTGCGGTCCAGCTTGTGTCCCGGGTGACATCTGCAGCCTCCGGGCTCTCAAGGGCCCCAGCATGTGAGAGAGATCATGGGGAAGGCAATACTGATTGGGGGGCTGGGGCTCAACCCCAGCACCTGGGGGAACAGGGAAAGACTGACCCCAGAAAAAACAGTGCTTCCTGGACCCCATGGGAGTCCATGGCAGGAGAGTCGGTGCTACAGCTGGGGTCAGCCCAGGGTACCCTGTCCCATAGGCTCTCAGTAGAGCCAGTGAGGACCCTGGTGGAAGATGTCGGCAGGGAGGGCTACTTGGGGACCTGGTGCAGCTGTGGCCCTGGCACTGACTTCATCAGGGAGCTTGAAAGCCATTGAGTTCCGGTCATCCAGCTCAGCCTGGACAGGGGAGAGAGTGTGGCTCAGATCCTGACAGGTGGGAGCGAGGGGGAGTGCTGGCTAGCAAGCCCCACACCCTGGCTGAAGGCTGGGGGTGTTGTTTGTGCAGAGTTGCATGTCCAGCATTGGAGCTGGACCAGGAAGGATGAGGTCACCCACTAGTGTCCTCATTCCCCTGCCCAAGACGAAGAAGTCGTTGTCTCTCGCCTTCTTTCATCCCCAAGGTCTGTCTACCCCTGGCTGCCTTCCCCTTGCTCCTGCTGGCTGCCCCCTTGCCCAGACCAGACCTCCCCACCCCACAAGACTTCTGACCACACCCCTCCAGCCCTTCCTCCTCTCAACAAAGAACACTGTACACCTCCCAGGCACCCGCCAGGATGAGGAGACCGCTCGGATAAATAAGACTCATTTCAACTTGCTGTGCTGGAGACAGGCAGCACACATAACTAGACTCAATCCCGCTGATGGCCCATCTCTGTAGAAGCATCTCCAGGGACTCCACTTCGTGAGACAAGACCCAAATGCTGCCTGCCTGCCACAGTGGGTCCCTCTTACCCCTCCTGGTGCTCAGTAGCCACCTCCCTTCTAGAAACCCCCCTTCCCACTGCCCCTGCACGGCAAGGCGTGCCTCCTGCCCAGACGCATTGCTGTCAGAGCCTGTCTCGCAGATGAAGCCCAGCTCAGGCCTCAGGACCCACGCTGGTTTTCCCTTTTGTTCCACTAGTAATATGAATCAAAGTGAACACTCAGAATGAAAGACAGGACCTAAGGGCTGGTCCATGGTCTGCAGAGACCACTTATTTGTTCCCTGTCTGTTCAGACCTTGAGAATAAGTGTTCAGGAACTTTTGGCCATGAGATGCCACTGCCACACCACCTGCATGGTTACGTTTCACTGAAGCGTCATTTCTTGGTAGATGGGGAATCAGACAGAAGCCTAACCATTCATCCCACGTTGTTGGAAGGCAGGTGGCGAGAACTTGCCCTTCCACTAGCTCTAACATTTAGCGCCCCACCAAGGCCCAGCCCACCCCAGCCTGAGGACAGGCTGTGAACAGAGGCTCATGGGCACAGCGCTTTCTGTGTAGCGAGGCCTCATGTAGCGCCGACGGCGCTCTGCAGGGGATAGGTGGGTCCTTTGCAGGTGCTGTCACTACTGTCCCCTCCTTAGATGGGGTTCAGAGGGGCAGATAGGTCTCAGACTCCTGTGTACCAGCCTCAGGGACCTTCCCTCCTCACCACTCCAACTGTGCTCTGGAGGCCGGGTACCCGCACTTCTTAGTTAACATGGGAATGCATGTTAGCTGGTAAAGTGGGTAGAGCTAGTCCAGAAAGCATACAAAGGGCACAGAACGGGGTTGGGGGGGTTGACCCAAATACCTGGGAGCCGCCATGGGTCAGTGGGCAAGGCCTGGTGGTCTGAGGAGGCAGAGGTGGACCGCCTTAGAATCAGGCAGCAGCGTTGGTCTGTGGCCCTGGCCTCAGAGCCATGATGCTTGCAGCTGGAGCAGCAACAGGAAACAGGAAGCCACCGAGGGGCTAGGCGGGGCTTAGAAAGGGAGCTGACACCCAGGTCCAGGGCCTGCAGGCTGGCCAGGACTCGTGACATGAGGAGGGGATAGTGGCGTGCAGGGCTGTGCCCTGCTGGCCCAAGAGTGTAAATCTGGGTTTGGGGGGATGCACAGGGGAGACAGGCTGTTGCACCAGGCCATTACACAGTGACAGTGAGGGTGTGTGAAGCTGGTTCCTGCCTGGTGGCCAGTTCAGACAGCTCTGTGACTGCCTTTGTTCTTTGTGCTGATCACAGCTAGGCCACTGGGAGGGACCGTTTCTGCTGTTGCCCACCAGACCCTGGGGATGACCGACCCTCCGGGACTCCATACCCTGTTTACTAGCACTGTATTTATTCATTGAAGATTTATACCCACCAACTTCCTCCAGGGTTATTTTTACTCAGTGGGAGTACTCTGAGGTCACCTCTTGCTAAGAATATCCCAGAAAGGCTGTGTGTGTGTGTGTGTGTGTGTGTGTGTGTGTTGGGGGGGTGGGGGGAGGAGGGTGCTGAGAGCAGGCACTGAGCTCAGCCGGCTCCAAGCCAGGTTACTCACTCTGTGTTGGAGGCTGAACCTCCAACACAAAATGCTGGGCCGCCTCAGTTTGAGTTCCAGAGGCCGGAACTGCCCCACATCAGAATGGAAGACTTGGGTATAAACCGAGAAATTGGGGAACCCTTCCCCTGCAGCTTCAGCTGGCAGGGTACGGTTTAATTCACCTATTGTGAGTTGGCTGAATTGGCTCAGTTTCTAGCCCAGTAAGATGGAGCTAAAATCCCCTCTGTGTTTCCAGGTCAGAAGTGCTCCTGGACACCCTCTTGAATCTTGATCCCTGCCTCTGTGCCCCTTTGTTTTTACGCACAAAAATGTA